ACAGGGGTGCATGTCACACAGCCACAGAGCTGGGGCTCCCTGTTACACTACAGGGGTGCATGTCACACAGCCACAGAGCTGGGGCTGCCTGTTATAACACAGGGGTGCATGTCACACAGCCACAGAGCTGGGGCTCCCTGTTACAACACGAGGGTGCATGTCACACAGCTACAGAGGTGGGACTCCCTGTTACAACACAGAGGTGCATGTCACACAGCTACAGAGCTGGGGCTCCCTGTTACACTACAGGGGTGTGTGTCACACGGCCACAGAGCTGGAGCTCCCTGTTACACTACAGGGGTATATGTTACACAGCTACATAGCTGGGGCTGCCTATTACACCATAGAGGGGATACATGTTACAAAGCTATAGAGAAATAGAATTAAATCATATAATAAACATATTTAAATATCACAAATCACTACTATGCATGACATATTGTCATAATTATGGGTAGATTTTTATATATATTTATTTCTTATGTTTACACACAGCTTTGGAGTTTAATCTGAAATTGTGTAGAAAGTATGGAAAGTCCAGTTTCCCACTGTCAGTGCTGCCCGGTGGGGCCATCTGGGGGATCTCTTCACCTTACCCTCAGGGCTTCCGTACCTCGGGCCCTGACTGACATCACACAACCTCAGAGTAGACAGCAGCTGAGATTCTCGGGAGAACGTGGGTGGGGGACAGGGGAGGAGACAGCTCTGAAGTCCAGCTCACTGGTCTTCAGCTCCCTTCCCTTGGGTCCTGAGGAGCAGGACCGTATGGGGCAGGCTTTCCTTTTCTGACCCCAGAGGTATCAGTAAACCACACAACTCCCATGTAGATTCCCTAACGCTTCACTGTAATTTCCCTGACCTTGCTGTGATTCTGCAGAGAAGGTAGCCATGAAGAGAGGGAGGCCGGGGCGGCACCTGTGGCTCAAAGGAGTAAGGTGCCAGCACCATATGCTGGAGGTGGTGGGTACAAACCTGACCTTGGCTAAAAACTGCAAAAAAAAAAAGAAAAAAAGGAAGCGAGGCAGAAAAGAAACAGAATAAGGGGAAGAAATGTACCTTCTCCACCATGATTTCCATCAGCAAGATCAGAATCTGAGAAGCCACCTGTAGGAGAAAAAAATACAGTGTCTCCCATCATGTGGGGACTTACCGGGAGGGGCTTATTGTCTCGAACAAACAAACAAACAAAAAAAGAACACACACAAACAAACCAAAACACACACACACACAAATAAACCAAAAAAAAAACTGGAATCCAAACTAGTTTGGAAGGGATTTATGGAAGGGATCTTTCAAAGCACAGTTAAAACTAATTGACATTCTATTTCAAATCTCATAAAATTACTTCTTACCAGAAACTAAACCTAAAAAAGATGACCCCCCCCACCAAGGGCAATGGAGATTTCACACCAGTCTTTTCCGATAAACACAAATAGCATTCTTCCTAAAGAAAATACCATCTGGGGCAGATTCATTGTACCAATAACCCTAATTTTTCAATTGCCTGGTTATAGGTGGACTGTTCTGGCCACCTGTCAACTCTGGGCCCAGCGGCCAGCACACAGATATAAAAGACACATATCGAAGGGTTCAGTCATTCCAGAGAAGACCACCCCAGAAAAGGCAACCCCAGAAGAACACCCAGTTGACCACAGACACTGGGAAAAGCTATTTTCATCTGAGCCAACCTAACCTTATTAAAAATAACAATGTTGCCCGTAGCTCAGTGGTTAGGGCACTGGCCACAGGCACCAGGGCTGGTGGGTTCAAACCCTGCCCAGGCCTGCCAAAAAAAAGCCAGGCATTGTGGTGGGTGCCTATTGCAGTGGGCCCCTATAGTCTCAGCTCCTGGGAAGGCTGAGGCAAGAGAATTGCTTGAGGCCAAGAGTTTGAGGTTGCTGTGAGCAATGACACCATGGCACTCGACCCAGGGGGACATAGTGAGAATCTGTCTTTAAAAAAATGTATTAAGCCACGGGCTCTGGAGATGGGTTTGTACTGTAGCAGTACCAAACTCATTTTTGTCAATTTTAATCCTTCAGTTTATTTAAACTTACTATGACTAAAGAGAGGTTATTCCATAGTGCAAGGATATATTTTATGGAAAGGCACATTTCAATATAATTTGTCAGTTGTACGAGTTAAAAGAAACTGATGGGCTTGGTGCCCATAGCTCCGTGGTTAGGGTGCCGGTCACATACACCAAGGCTGGTGGGTTTGAGCCCAGCCTGAGTCTGCTACACAACAATGACAGCTACAGCGTGGTGCCTGTGGCTCAAGGCATAGGGCACCCATATATAGAGGTAGTGGGTTCAAACCCGACCCCAGTCAAAAACTGCAAAAAAAAAA